GAGTATTTTGGTTCCCAAAGCACGCCGGGTCCAAGTTTWCGGGACYCATAAGTCCTTTCGGTCATTGTACCGTTACAGTCTCTAAGCGTGGAGACGGAACGGACSAGCGAGAGACTGYGGAARAGTCTAAACTWGCTTGTAAATGAAAAAGTATATAATTAAATGCAGTTAAATCTGAATCATGTTTATTATACATTTCTCGTGATAAAGATTACAACGAGTGCRAAGAGATGACAAATGAATGTCAGCCTGGTCTTGGAATGTGCAGCARCAACCCAGGATCATATACCTGCGTGTGTCCAGTAGGCTACGTCGTTAATGGATACAACTGCGATGGTAATTGTCATGCAAATACTGTATAGTTTTACCCATGCACCATTTGAAAGTTATTAATTATAATCATCAAAATATCAAAATATCTGCTTCTAGTCAGGTAACTTGGATCCAAGATTTTTTGAAAATGGAACATAATCGCAGTGTTTGGTTTTCATTCAGTGCGTCTAAACAATATTTCGAAATTTCTCAACTGATACAGCTATTTCGAAAAAGTGGGGGTTGTGTATTGATGGTTTTCAACCATTCCCAAGAGAATTAAATAACAAAAGACACGGCAGTCCTGTTGGAGGATATAACAGAAGAATTCATTGACAATTCTTTTGTTAAGTTCCTCCAACATGGCCGACGTGAAAACCATCAATAGGTCGGTCTTATTGCATGTTGCATATGAATGGGCGCAGTGAATACAATCAGCCAAAGGTCCGCACAACGATATGAAAATTTCCTTAACTTAGGTGTACGACGTTTTGACCAGTTAAAAATTCGTCCGATACCATGTAAACGAATGCAGCCTATGCCTGCACGTTTTTCATACTAATATAATACATTTCAAGCTTGGCAAACAACATGCAACATGCAACAAATTCTTCAGTGGTCTGTTGTGGGTCAATCGACTCTCTTTTATACATGTATTCTGTATACACTGGTGAATGAAGAGGCATACAAACGCTCCATACTAATTTAAATATCATGTTTGTAGATGTGGACGAGTGTTCTACTGGTACTCATACTTGCCATGCCAATGCTCAGTGTACTAACAACGTGGGATCGTTTACTTGTCAGTGTAATTCTGGTTACAATGGAAATGGACACGTTTGCTCAGGTAATAAGTTAAARGAAAAAGATCGAAGCTACATAAATAATAATTTGATTCTAGATTTAAGTTTTTCAGTAAAAAATCGTCATTTTTTGCATGCCAATTAAAAACATTTAA